TACTCATGAGTAGTACAACCATTACAACTAAACCCAACACTGCCCCCTGAGGTTGAAGAATCCTGGGATGTTTCTAATTGTTCAGGGTTCTGTGATTCTTCAACTTCACCTTCTAACTTGCATAACTGCCGTACATCTCTTCTCACTGTCCCGTTAGCTGTTCTTAACGTTACCTTCCGAACTAAGCCGTCGGTACCTTCCTGTATATCTGTGACGACCGCCTTCGGCCATTGCCCTCTCGATCGTGCAGACTCTATCATCAACACTAAGTCCCCAACCTTCAAATTAGGCTTAGGATCGTGCCATCGTTGCGTTAACTGTAGCGTTGGGATATATAGCTTCAACCACCTTTTCCAAAAAAGATCGAACAAGTACAATGTTTGTCGCCATCTTCTATTGTACTTTGTTGTATAGTCCTTTTCATCGATGCTAGCTGGTTCGCTTGCTCTAGGCAATAGTAACATGCTAGGTGAAAGCGCTTGTATGCCATCGACATCTTCTACCATCTTCACTATAGGCCGGTTGTTTAAAATCCTCTCTATCTCCACTAGAGTCGTATGTAATACCTCATCGGTGACCGGTTGTTCGTCGAGAACAACTACTAATATTCTTTTAATAGTTTTGATGATTCGCTCCCATATTCCTCCTCGATGATAAGCCTTTGTAGGGTTAAATATCCAGTCACAATTGTGGGCGGCAAGGTTTTTCGATATTTTTTCTTGGTTCCAAGCTCTCATTAAACACTTTATTGCCCTTTCTGCACCTTTAAAGTTGCTGCCGTTGTCACTATACAGGCGTTGTGGGTAGCCCCTACGTGCCGCAAATCGGATAAAGACACAAAGGAAAGAATCGGTATCTAGGGTATTGGATATTTCTAGATGAACCGCTCTTGAGCTGAAGCAAGTGAACAAGCAGCCGTATCTCTTTTCCACGGTCCGTCCACGTTTCACAAATAGTGGTCCAAAATAATCGACACCTGTCACAGTAAATGGATTACAGTGGTACATAAAACGATCTTCTGGTAGGGGTGCCATAGCCTGTTGGCAAGGTTGAGAGAACCACTTACGACACTTATAGCAATTATTGAGAACCGACTTGATGGTTTTCACTGCTTTAATGATCCAATATCTTTCACGGATTGTTGAAATCAGAAAGTTTACTCCCATATGTCCATTCGCTTCATGATAATGTCTAATAATTAAACGGGTAATAAAATGATTATGCGGTAGTATAATCGGATGCCTTACTTCAAAGGGTAGACCTGATTGCTGTAAGCGCCCACCAACTCTTATTACTCCATTAACCGTAATTGGTTTCAAATGACGTAGTGGACTTGAAGACTTGCATAATGCTACTTTAATTGTTCGGTCGACCTCCTTCTCACTCGTCACCACCGGGACGTGATTCAACAGCTTAAATACATCATTGAAACATTCCTTCTGCGCCAATCGGATAATGTTGAGCTCAGCCGCTCTTAACTCTGCGACTGTGAGGTTTTGTTGGATAGTTAATTTGTTCGTCAAGAGATGTTTATAACGTAGAAGCCAAGCTATCATTCGTTGTAATTTCATCCATGAATTCACAGCTTCGAATCGACTCAGAAACGTAGGTTGATTCTCGTTTGGATATAAATCTTTATTTGACAACATATAGTTTATATAGGAGCATGCATTAGTGTGCTGGTGTGGTTCCTGCTGAACACATCCCTGCAATAAAAATGTTGGACCACTAAGCCATCGTTTTAATTTTCGTTCTTGGTTTACCATGAACCCTCGGTAAAGCAGATCCGCTGGGTTGAGCTTAGAACTAACGTAACGCCAGTCTGATGGCCTCGTCTGTTCCTGTATATAGACCAACCTGTTAGCAAAAAACGTAGGGAATCTCTTGGAAGCATTGTTTATTCTATGGAGTACGACGAGAGAGTCCAATAAACCGTTTTGAGTATGGTAACAGTCATCTCTGTTCGGATAAACTTGGAGATTTTCACAGACAAAACTGCTGCCGCCAATTCTAAACGTGGTATACTCGTAGCCCTAATAGGTGCTACTTTAGCTTTAGCGAATATCAGTCGACATTCTTTAACACTTTGCTGTTTCAGTAGTAGCAAATACCCTGCTGCTCCGTATCCATTATTAGAGGCATCACTGAACATATGCAGTTCGATTCCAGTACATTCGGCTGCATTTAATGACCGAGGCAAAACTATCTTTTCTATATGAGTAAGACTTCCTTGCCATTTTCTCCAAACCTTTAGTTCTTCTCCTACTATTAAATCATCCCAAGAAAATTTCATTTTGCATAGTTTCTGAAGGATAAGTTTCGCTGGGAGAATAACAGGTGCTAGGTAACCCATGGGATCGAATATGGAGGCGACAAATGACAATACATTACGACGTGTAACAGGTTCATTTACCCTCTCGACATAAAAACGAAAGGTATCATCGCTTATATTCCAACTTATGCCCAAAGCTCGACAAGTGGTATGATCGCCGTGCCCGATGTGTACACATGGCCCGATACAATTAAACTCAGGTAGCAGCTGAGCTAATGTTGAATCATTAGTAATCCACTTAGTCAAGTTGAATCCACCTTTTGATAACATATCTTTCAACTGAGTTGCTACTCGATAACTTGTTTCAGTATTGGGAGTACTAATTAAACAATCGTCTACGTAGAAACTACGTGTAGCCATGTCGTAAACTTCCTTGTCATAGTTTTCCTTGTTATCTTTGATGGTACGATTAAGAGCATACGTAGCGCAACTAGGAGAAGAGGTTGCTCCAAATACGTGGACTGTCATGCGAAGTTCTTCAGGGCTGTTAGTAAAATCTCCGTTCGTCCGCCATAAAAAACGCAGAGCGTCTCTATCGCATTCGGGTACTTTAACCTGGTGGAACATTGCTTCGATGTCAGCCATTACTGCTACCCTTTCTTGTCTAAACCTAAGAAATACACCCAATAACGAATTAGTAAGATCCGGACCAGAGAGTAACCTGTCGTTTAATGATCGTCCTTCATGTTTAGCAGCGCAATCGAATACTATTCTAATTTTCTCTGGTTTCGCTGGATGGACGACAGGGTGATGCGGTAAGTACCATACGTTAGAGTTATCATTTAACGGTGGCGCAATTTCTGCATATCCCTTTATAAGGTAATCTTTCATTGCATCCGCATAGCGTCTAGCTAAATCTTTAGAGGTACACAGTCGTTTGCGTAAAGCGTTCAGACGATGCAAACAATACGACTTATTATCCGTCCATTCTAACTGTGAATCGTTCCACGGGAGTGATATACAATAATGACAATCCTTTAACGTGATAGACTTCTCCATGATTCTGAGTGCGGTTCTATCTTCAATCGATAAGCCTTTATCTTTAGACTGACTTTCCTCTAACAGGTCTTGCTGGTAGAATCTTTCAAGAGTACTTTCAATTTCTGAGAGACTGAGATGATTTGGCTTTATGTGACTTGTGACATGAGTATCAAGGGGTCCCATCAGTGTCCAACCAAATATGGTCTTTATCGCGTACGGTTCCTCCGGTCTTCCTAACCTTTGTTCTAAGTTTCTATGTGCTTCAGGAACATTGCAGCCAACCAGTAGTCCTATTCGCTTACTTTCACATCTCCTCAGGTCTATTCCCTGCAGATGTTGCCACAATCGAAGCTGCTTCTCCTCTGGTACCACTCGCTTAATCTTAGGCAAACTAGGAACAACATATGCTCTTTCTATCCGAATTGACTCATCAGATTCATGTGAGCTAACTTCTAGTCGTACCGCATTTGTCCGCATCTCTCTGTAACCATTCATAGTCTCTATCCGAACACGGGCATATTCCATAGGTAATTTTAAATCGTCGACAATATCCTTAAGTACCAATGTCGAGTCAGAGCCGCTATCCAAGAATGCCAAAGTTTCTACCGTACGGTCACGATTGCGGAGAATTACTGGGACCACTGCAAATGCCACCTTAGGTTCTTCATTTTCCGCTCGCGAATTTGAAACGTAATTAGTAGCAACATTCGCATTAGATGGTGAGACGTCCGTCGTAACATGCAACAATGAATGGTGCCTACGACCACAACCCTCCACGGTACATCCTCTGCGCAATCTACAATCCTTAGCTATATGATTAGCCTTTAAACATAATCGGCATAACCTTTTCTCCTTGATTAGATCTAACCTTTTATCTACTTCAAGGGATAGCAACGTTGGACACTGGTCTAGAAAGTGGTTGTCTTTACATAAGATACACACTAAATACCTTTCTTGACGTTGACTTGAAGGCGAGTGCTGCAATGTAAACACGTTCCTTTTTGTACTCGGTGGTTGAGAAGAAACAACGTTCCGGACTCGTTTATCTGACTTTAAATGCGCTGCGAGTTCTCCATATCTCGTACACATTATGTAGACACGTTCCTCGATAAACCTGGCTAAGTCCTCAAAGGTAGGCTCTGTGTCTTGTTTAATATAATCTACCGCTGTTTCCGCCCATTTAAACCGGAGATTCGAAGGCAACCTTGCCACAATAGCTTCTAGTGTTCTGCTTGCATTTAAATCGGACTGGTAACCTTACTGTTTTAATGTCACGACGCATGTTTGCATTTTTTGACTAAGGTCAGCCAATGCCGACGAGTCGTCGTTCTTAACTGGTGGCCCGTCAATTATTTCATCTATAAAGGCCCTAGCCACCATGTAATTCCGACCAAATTTCCTTTTTAAGATATCTTTAGCCATTATAAAGCCATCTGTGCCATTCATTATAGTACAATGCTCTATAGAGTCTCTCGCCTTACCTGTGCAAAATTGGATTAAGTAATTCAAACGTATGGCGTCGTCGGTTGTCGCTTGTTCTACAACTTTCTGAAACTCTTTCATGAATATCCAATACTCCTTTGGGTTTCCGTCAAATCTCCTTATTTCTGGCTTTGGCAGTTCGAAGTATCTTTCTACATAATTCGTTGTAGGATAGGTGTCGCTTTTCATGTCTCCTCTTTCGCTAGAATTTTGGGGACATCCTTCTCGTAACAGCGTTTCCAACAAGAGCCTTTTTTTCACTTCTTGTAATTTTAGCTTCGCCAATTCTATTTCCAATTCCTTCTCACGTAGGCTTTTTTGGCAGCTTAAGACAGGACTTTCAGGCTTTTCTAACTGAGCAGATAAATCTGGCATACTATCTTCTAGATGTTGTCGTTGTTGACGCAAAAAACTTGAATAACTGTAGGATTCCCGTTGCATAACGTTAGATTCACCAGAATAACGCACCCGAAGTCAATGAATTAAAAGCTCTTTGAGTATTCGGAATATTTATTTGGAACAGTTAAATGAATATCGTATGTGGTTCTGCAACAAACAATTATTAATTTACTAGTTACTTACATTCAAGGTGATTAAGCAACAACAACAACAACAACAACAACAACAAATTATCACAACGATCCGTGTCCCACACACCAAGCGAATAGAATGCCAAACAAAATGGCTGACCAAACAGTCAATGTTTCGACCAATAGAAAACAACTTCTAGATTGTTCGATCATACTAACCAATAAAATGCAAGTTACAAATTATGTAGTAAACACTCAACTACTCATGAGTAGTACAACCATTACAACTAAATCCTTAAAACTCGCCATATAATTGCCCTATTTGTATTTCATGTCTGGCTGCATGGGCTGATCATTTCACCTTGAGATTTCATTTCCCACCAGGAAACTCCATGACTGTGATAAGCTGCTGTGAATTCTAGTGTGCCATTTTTGTAACTGTTTCAATGACGTTTCTATGACGTACAAATAAACAAGAGGTGTTGTAATGGATTCAAAATCACCCTATTCCTGTAATAACGCCGCGTATTTGATTTTCGAATCACCGAATGCCGAGACAACAACTTCGTGTTCTCTCTTGGTGTGAGGTGTTGAACCAACCTTGTGTGTTGTGATTTACGCTCCTCTCTGCCCTTCAGTGACTACTGATTACGCATGTTACACTGTGTGCTTGATTGTATTGTGATTGCTGGGTGTTTGTAGAATATACTTTCTACACCTACAAAGCCTTCTGTCTTCAGCTTGGGGTCCAAAGTAGCCTATCTAGATGCTGGTATCTGTCTCGTTCGCGTTCAATGACTAAGGTAAACTCGTTTTAACTTCGAGTATGCCAAGTGACAAACAAATCAGTGTATTTTAAAGGGCTCAAATTTGTGTATTGTGCTTCCTATTCGTGAAGACAATTGTGAACACCAACAGTACCTGTTGTAAATGCTCAGCTTGTTATTTGTTTTCACTAAAATAATTAATAATACTAATAATATTAGTGGTAACAATAACATATACCTTCAACAAAAAAACACTTTGTTACTCAAGTCATACGAAAATCACGATCGTTCCCACCACATTTACGTAAAAGGTTACACAGTTATAATAATACTAAGCTTTTTCTGATAAATAGTTGACGTCTTGTCACCAACAAGAAGGAAATAATAAAAATACGCTATAATTACCAGAATTATTCAATCCTGGATGGGTTTTGGGCAGGTATTACGGACTAAGGAAAGAAAAAATAACAGCAAGATAGAAGCGAGAGAAATGACAATAGAACTATTTAGCAGTTCATATTGAATCAGATAAAGCATTATTTATGCAGAAGACAAAATTCACACAGACCAATAAATTTTGAATGGATTGTAGTATCACATCTTTCGAATTATGAATTGCAGTATTGAAAATAATGGTTTGGGATGTTGATGCAAATGGATCGAAGACATATTTCAATTTGTAAGTGAGTGTTTTGAGAATAAAGTAAGAAGATGAAAAAAGAGTACAGTTTGTGAATACCATTGATTATATTTAGTGTTCAGAGTACTTTTTTTCACCGCATCCTTACTTCTCAATCATACTTTGAGGGCTTGAGAGGGCATGTTGCGGGTCGTCTTTAAGAACAGTGATTTGTGTTTATCACTAGCAATGGGAAATTCAGTTATAACTGACTGATCGTTTGATTATTCAATTACAGCTGAAAGCGAACAAACTGTTGTGCCACAAGAACCTGTGTTGTTCTCAGACCCGATTCTCTGTGTTGTAGATATTCGGTCAATAACTCGATTATCCAACCTTCTGTGTTTTGAAGTCAGAACAAACTGAATGCTAGGTATTATTTTCTATTCCGTTTGACTCTGAGAAACACTTTCACATTAACTTCTATTTTACACGCTCAACTGACAGTTACAACGTACTACTTTTGGGTTGAACATCAGTAAAATACATGTACCTTTTATAATAAAATACGCAAATTTTCAACTTAACTGAAGATATTATTGCTGCTTTTGTGAAATAATACGAAACAAGCCAAATGTGATAGTTGATAATAGCTTCAAAGCGGCTGAAAAAATGAATCACAATAATTCGGTAGGAACAGGATGTCAGTGATTTTAGAACTTCTGAAAAATCTGTGCAACTGCTGGCCTCATTAGCAAGCTTGACAAACGAATATAATTAATCTGACATGCGTTTTTCTGTGAAGATGATATTTTACATCAGTGAGCGCTTTGTATGGAAGACGTTTTTCGAAGTTTTCTATTCAATATTTCATAGCTGAACATTAGGTTCCTTCACTCGAACGTGATGGCAAGCCTTGGAAAACGACTAATTGATAACAGCAGTTTTTTAGTTGATAAGTTTGATTTTCCCTTCAACATAAGATGAATTGAGTTTTCTCCATCCCTTCAACTTTTGTTAAATCATAAAGACGTAAATTGAAATATAAGAATAAGCAGTAGTACTGATCTGCGGATTCGAATTGTGATTTCCATCTCCGACGTAATCTTACGGACAACATAAGTTACTCAGGAGTATTTAGGATATGCATGTGCCTCAACGGATGAAAATATTTTCAGACGTGATGACAATATATATAGTTCTAGATTTTAAGGATTACTGACAATGTTTCATTCTTACTTTGTCATAGCGTCATAGATAATGTTGTTGCTGAGAGTGTAAGGATTATATTCTGAGGTTAGAGACCTGTTGTGGAAAATTTACAGGGATGAATAATATGTTGAATTGCTGACGTATTTTCTGTTAACTTTGTTCAGTTCCACAAATATTTTGTCACATTTACTATTTTCATATAGGCGGCCTAATTCTTGTTACAAAAAATGATAGATAATACTACACTACACGGTAGACTGCAATAGATTCCGTATAAACGAATAATTGTTTAACGGCAAATCAATAGGCTTTAAAGAAAACGATGAAATGGCTGTCAAATATTCGTTCATATTTCATTTTAAAAGGAATTTTTAGAATAATTCTCATACGAACAATTTGTTCATGATGACCGTCGCTGCAAGTCCAGTGGTCTAGTATTCGAACAATATTTGCAACAGAGTATTTATTAACACCTCAGATATTTCACATTAGTGAGTAAAATAGCTATAGATCTATTATCTTCAGAATATACTGTATTTAATCCTCCAGATGCCCATCGTGCATCCCTGAACGATGAGTATTCATCGTATGTCACACTATTGCTCATAGATTCCGGACCTGTTATCAATTAGATTATCCACCTACGCATTCTGGTTATTCTAAACAATCCTTCCAACGTCCTGATTACTAAGAGCTGGTTGTCCTCTAATGTCCCTGACGCATACCTTCTAATAGACTCTTATGAACTCAATCGCGGTGACTAAGAATCTAAAAAGAGTGATGGTTGCCTCATCTATGTATCTAGGAACATCAAAGCAGAAGTGTTTTATGAAACTGTTCTTAATCAAGTGCTTGATTTGATATTGCTGACTGTGCTTGGCCATGAATGTTAAATACTGTTTGGATGCATATATCGAGGTCCAAACACTCATCAATCGGTTAACATTGATATTGGTGAGTCGTTTGTCAGGGCTACCTCCACTAAATTCACCTGCTAAATTATTTCAGGTGACTCCAACCTCCCTGGAATCAACCGGAAGACCAATTCCGGTCCACAACGCATTGATAGCTTACTTAGTATACTAGACACACATGGTTGGCAACAATATGTGCACCTGTCTACTAGAAAATACGAGATTCTCGAATTGGTATTTTGTCACAATGTCACACCAACATCTTTGGCGGTCTGCGAAACGTTTCACAATAGTGACCACGAAATAGTCCACTGTACCCTTCTGCGTTTCGCTAAATGCGACAAATCTAAAACAATGAAGCGTTTCAATGCAGAGACTATGAACATGCTGACTGAGACAGCTTCCGGTTTCTAAATCAGCACTCCGACTAGACTGCGTTTTTCTCTTGTCCTGAACTACCTGATGCGTTACATATATTCAGTGTCCCCATTAAATCTGCTACAGACACTATTACCTTATCTAAATCGTCTTTCAGAACAGTTACTCCTTATATCAGTCATAAAGCTACGGTTAAACTACGTCAACTAAATTAGGCATATTGCAAATCTAAGTCCTACAGCATCCTGTACCAAACTTATGCTGTACTTGAAGGTGTGAAAAACCAAAACGACGTGCGTAAGCAAATCGAGGGAAAAAATGCTCTCGATACTGAGTGTAAGTGCCTCAACCTCTGTCATTTGCCTAACTAACGCATAAATAAGGACTCAGACAGCGAAATTTATTCTATACTTAATAATGGACAGACGTATTATGACGAAGCTGACATTTTTTTTTCTCAAGATTTTTAAGTTATCCATAGTGTCTGGTATATACCTCGAATCGTGGAAGTTGACTCACGTTGTCCCAGTACAAAAATCTGTACTGAAAGACCTAATCCAAAAATAAAGACCGATTATTATCACCCCAGTTATATCACGTAAAATGGAGAACGTGACGAAAGAGCAACTATCTGATCAATTACTCAGAGAAGGTCACACTGACCCCTCACAATATGGCTTCACTAGAACTGGTTCATGTGTCACATGTCTGTTAGATTTCTGTAATGAGGTTACCAGCATACGCGATCAAAAGCAACTAGTAATCGTGTTGTATTTTGATATCAAAAAGGGTTTCGAGACGATACCCTACAAGCTCCCAATCATCGGACTTCAGTCCGTCAGGATTACTTACACCCTAATGCAATGGATTGGGTCGTTCGTCACAAACAGATACCAGATTATAAAAATCAACTTTAACACATCTACACCTCGACCAATTACCAGTGGTGTTGTGCAGGGAACTGTTTTGGGTCCACTGCTTTTCATAATCTACATCAACAGCATATGCAGTTGTTTCAACTCTGGTGAAACCTACCTCTATGCGGATGACCTGAAAGTGATTTATCAATCTAGCAAATCTGACTTGGGCAATTTGCTGCACACAATCCAGCATGAACTCATTCCTGTAGATGTCTGGTGTAAGCAATGGAACCTTGAACTTATTACTGAGAAATGTGGCTGTTTTGGAGACACGTCTCAAAATAGTTCTCACCCTCGCAGCAATGCATTGCCCAAACTGACATCCGTAACTGACTTTGGAGTGCATTATTTGCACAGTCTTAACTTCTCTGAACATACCTTCAATAAAGTTTCGCGAATGAGAAAAATGCTTGGTTTCCTCTTTCGTAAATTCCTTCATAGAGAATCCAGAACAATTCTCTACAATACATGTGTAAGACCAATTG